TGACCTTGAAGAAAGCGTGGTCTTCTCTGTAGAGCCTCTCCAGATCCATATAAAACGCTTCCAACTCCTCTTCTTCGTAGCTCGATGTTGGTGCGTAGGCAACGAAGATGGTTAGAGCTGGAGTTGAGCCACATCCTAACCGCAAACGCCCGATTCGGGTTGTTAGGCTTTCGTACAAATCTATGTTCATGGCCAAGTGCGTATTGACGAGGACACCTACGCCGCCGACGCCTCTGCTGTCGCATATTCCAGGGAACCCAAGGAACAGTTCTTCTCCAGTCATTGTTTGACATATCCTTATCCTTACTATATATAAACCAAGAATGTCCGTTTTTCTGTATGTTTGTATGTCTGTTTCACTGTAACTATCTTATACGGCGTCGTTTGGAAATCGAATGGAACAGCTCAGACAGATTGGAACAAGTGGGGATTGGGAATGAACAAGCCAAGATTGAGCCGAACTCCTTGGGAACACGTGATCCAGGCTAAGTCCCGCCCACTAGGGGCGGGGCTTGCGCGAATAGTGTAGTTCACAAGAAATCTGTAACTACTTTTCTTCTGAGCCAAGAGTATTCAAATTTGGCAGAGATATAGGTGGCAAGATGGGAAAACTAATGGTAGATGACAGGTGTGGACTCCGCCCACTGGAGGCGGGGCCTCCTGAAAATAGTCAAATTGGACCCGGGTCGTTCAAATTTGGCAGATATGTAGGTCGCGTCTGTCTGTCGGTCCGACCGTCTGTCTGTTTGTACGAAAATTCATAACTCCTGCCCCGTGAAATTAGGACGTTCAAATTTGGTTAGGAGCACAGGCGGCGGGATGGGAACGCATATGGTGGGTGGCAGGACTGGACTCCGCCCACAGGGGGCGGGGTTTGTGCGAAATAGATGTCTGAGCAAAAATCCATAACTCCTGATCCCGTGGACTTGGAGAACAAAATCAATAGTAGGGGGGCAGGACGGGAACATTGACGATAAGGAGGACCTTAGAGAACAAGATCCAATCACCAACTGAATAATAGCCCCTTTGTTATTTACGATTTAGCTGTAATTCTTTTATTTGTTTCATTCGACAAGAAGGATAAGTGCACTGATAGGGACCGATTGTGAAATTGGTTCACTTTTTGCTCGCGACCGCTACCCAGCGAAGTTTGGGATTCAATGAAGGAGCACGGTTTCTCTCTACTCGGATAACATTCTAGCAAAACTTATCCGACCGCTAACAATCTTGGATTCTCATTTAATGATCCGAAGAGAAAAGGAGCTAGATTCATTAAGACTGACAATGGTAATATTATGATTCGACAATATTTGTGAGTACCATTCAAGGCTTCGAATGCCTACCAGTTAAATCTTTAATGGGTCATTATTTCTAACATCAACAGCGACAGATCGAGTCAGACAGATTCTAACCAAAGGCATAGGCATTGGCACATTTTGAATATCG